CCCCAAAACCCCAAAACCCCAAAACCCCTAGATATTAAATAGCGAGAAATTGTCAAATATAAATTGATCAAAATAAAGATGTATAGAGATTATGAAAATAGAATTAGAAATCTAAGAATCAAAGATTATTAGTTTGTCAAAATCATTGGAGCTGGTTAATATGGAATAGTATCACTTTATAAGGGATCCAGAAATCTACAGATGGCAATAAAATTGGAAGAAAATCAGCAAAACATGATTTAAGAGTCAAACATACTCAAAGAAATCAATGATAAATACGAGATAAATGATAAATTGACAACTCGGATTGTTCCTTACTTCTATGAACGCGCAACTATCGTAGACCCTACATACAAATAATTTCTAGCAATGGAATATCTACCCTAGAGCCTGAAAGAGTTTTATGATGAGTAAAAGGGCAAGAAAGGAGGACTCAGTTTCTGTTAAATAGCTCTCAAAGTCTTCGAATGCATTAATGGATTCCATGATCAAGAATATATTCATCGTGACATCAAACCAGATAACTTCAGAGTTAAGGATGGATAAATTTTCTTAATTGATCTTGGGGCTTCAAAAAAGTATATCGAGTATGGAGTTCATATTCCCGAAATGGGAGACAGAGATATAGTAGGAAATCATCTGTTTGCTTCAATTAATGTTCAATCAAGGATATAAGCTTCTACTAGAGATGACTTTATTTCAGCTTTCTATGTACTATACTGGCTTATATATGACGGTGATATTTATTGGGATACTGAAGTGCAAGAAAGCGGTTACATGTCTCATAATCAAATATCCTAAATGATTGAATTAAAGAATTCGGTACAAGAATCATTGGATGAATCAAACCCAGATCTTAAAAAAATGCAACAAATACTAGCTCACTTAAATGGATTAAGATTTAATGAGCGTCCGAATCTTCAAAAAATTCAAAATATTCTCTTTGAATAGCAAAGCTTAACACATTAAAAGATTAATCTCAATAATTTAGCAATCTACACACCTTTCAGCTTAATGGTTTAGGTTAGAATTTTAGAATCTGATCTCTAAAATAAAGAAAAGGAGCATAAATAATAAATACAAGACATTGAACATAATTTTATCTCACTTCAAAATCAAGCTACGCAATTTTAAGATTAAATAGGTCATCTCACTTAGGAAAATGATAAACTTAAATAAGAGAATAAAGAACTGCTTAGAGATATCTCTAATTAACGGGAAACAATAGATACGCTGTTAAACTAATAAAAAGAAACTTTAAATCCAGATAAGGAGAAATCAAAATTTTCAATGAGTCATCATTCTTCTACTCATGATACACTAATGGAAGAAGTCAAAAGGGATCATAATTTACATTAATAAGAATTTCCAAGCGATATTGTATTCTCAAAACTTGAAAAGTCTTAATAAGAAGACATATTTCGGAGAATAAACGAAGATCAGAAATCTATGTTAACGTATTTTGAAAAATTGATCATTAGCTAATACTAATACCAACAAAAACTCTTAGAAAAGCAATATGACTATAAAATAAAAGAAGATATATGGAAAAATTAGTAAAATCATGATGATCACCGGCATATAAAAAAATTAATAAAATTAGACCTATCAATCTCTCCAGAAGTATATAGAGAGATTTTAGGTAAGGAATTAGAAGTTTCAGTAATTTTTGTTAAAAATGGAGAAGACTAGCCAGCTCAATAAATGATATTAATTGATAAATCAAAAAAGATTTTTACCTACCGAACCTCTGATCAAAATACCTAGGAGCAGAATACAGAATAATCCTACTTTTTTGAATTATATACTTACAGAATTTCATCAAGGAAAAATGAAAGGTTTGATGAAAAACGTTATTTTATTCAAAAGAGTGATAGCAAAAGAGACATAAAATTGTATCGATTTCGTGAACATGTATATAATCTCTTTAATTTAGATCATGACTATGACTATGACTATGTTTGAAATAGGGTTATTTTAACTTTTAATTTAATTTACTATAATGCAGATTATATTATTTCAATAGATTTAAAACACTCCGATTTAAATGATATTTTTATCAAAGGGGTTTTGGGGTTTTGGGGTTTTGGGG